CCGGCCGCGCCCGGCCACCTCCCAGCAGCACTCGGCTCTCAGGCCGAGGGTCTTCCCTGGCAGCAGGTGGAGCCAGCCAGGCCCTGGGGGCTGCGGGGTGCGGCGCATGGGACGGCCGACCTGGAGCGCGGAGCGGGTCCGTGGACCCCTCTGGATTGGTCGCCGGCGCGCCCCTGGCTGTGACTCTGACTCCAGGCTGCGCATGGGACGTTCCGTCGCTGTCGCCGTGCCCGCCGGGTCTAGTGGTCCTAAACATTTCACAATTGCGCTACAGAACTGTTGAACTGTTAAGAACCACTGGACCCAGCGCGCGAGTCCCCAGCACCGTCGGTTCGCCGAGCTGTGGAGAGAGGAGGCCACGACGCCCTTGGGACCGACCGTGTCGCCTGCGGATCCTGGGGACCGGCCCCTGCGCCCAGATCCCCGCTGGTCGTGCACCCACTGCCCTGCTGCAGCCACCCGGCCCCGACGCCGTACCGGACGCAATGGCCTGGCGCTGGGGGATTCCAGCCGCCAAGCCCAGCCCCGCCGCGTCTTCCCAGACCCCGGCGTCCCCTCGTCCCGCGGGCCCCGCGTGGCAGGGCAGCTGAGCTCCGAGCGGCCGCGGCCAGCGCGGCGGCGCCTTTTATGCCGTGTGGCCGCCCTTCCCGGCGCCGGAATGCGCCCGCGCCGTGCTGGCCCGACCGGTTTTTCCGGGCGGGGCGGCTCCCGGGCCCACAGGTCCCGCGACTGATCCTCCACGGCCCGGGGACCTGCTCCGTGCGCCCGCGCGGGGGTGGCCCTGACTCAGCGGCCGCCCCGCCCCACCTGGCGCCCCAGCCTCCAGTGCCCGGCCTGGGCGCACCTGGCCTCCCGGGTTCTGGGTCCCCGCCGGGCCACGCCCGCACCGTCTGGTCTGGGCCGGGGGTACTCGGGTGCACGGAGGGCCCGGGGCTCCACCTTGACCGGGTCGGGGCCCAGGGCGGCCCGAGCAGGTGAGGACCAGCGCCCGACAGGAGCCCAGGGCCGTGCTCGCCCTCCAGTGGGTGTGGGGGCTGGGCTGGACACACCCACCCCGGCCCCTCTCACTTCAAAGGGAACTTCGTGGGAGGGGGAAAGGGAGGGGTAAAGAGAAAGTGAAACTGGAGGAAGGGAGGTTTCTGCTTCTCAGACCCTGAACCCTGAAACCGCCCAGCAGGTTTCTGCTTCTCAGACCCTGAATCCCCACCCCGCAGCCCACAGAAGTAGCCCCGTACCTGCCTCCTCATTTCCCACGCGGTGGGAGGGACGCCCTGCCCCCTCACGCTGCAAGAGCCCGCGCCTCGCTCTCCCCACTCACAGCCCAGCCCCGAACGCCCTGGTGCAGCTGGCCCTGCCGGCCCTGCCCACTTAGTCACCTGGAGGTGTCCGGGCCTGACCAGTGGAGCCTCCCAGGGACTGTGTTTCAGCAGAACATGGCAGCTGAGGGGAGGGCTCGGGCTCTAGGAAATACAGAGCAGGGCAGGAGGTGACCCCCTTCAGCGCTTGCCCCAAGTCTGGAGCCATTGGTGTGTCTGTATGGGGTTGGGCAGCAGGGTGGTGACCATTCATTCCAGTGCAGGGCGGTGACACGCCATCCCACCGCCTCCCCAGTCAGCCAGGAGCCAAGTGCTCAGGAACCAAGGTTGGCCCCAGACCGGAACACAACCACCAGATCTGAGGGCTCCCTGAACATTTCCACGTGTGCTGTGTGTGGCTCAACTGCCGCAGCCACCCTGGAAAGGGAATCAGAAAGGTTTTGTTATTTTCATTTTGCAGTTGGGGAAACTGAGGCTCAGGGAGGGACAGTGACTTCTGAGGACTGCACAGCTCTTGCTGGTAGAGAAGGGATGGCAGGCCTTGCCATCGCTGGGTCTGTGGGTCTCAGTGCCTGTGTGTGGAGTCCGAGGGGCTGTGGCATGGGGGAGGGGATAGAAGTGGACATACCGGGCCTGAGATCAAGAGCAGCAGCTTGGGAGCTCCTCCTGCAGCACAACTGCATGGCTGAGAAGAACCCACCTCTCTTCTTTTTTTTTTTTTTTTTTTTTTTTGAGACGGAGTCTTGCTCTGTCGCCCAGGCTAGAGTGCAGTGGTGCAATCTTGGCTCACTGCAACCTCCGTCTCCCCAGTTCAAGTGATTCTCCCACCTCAGCCTCCCAAGTGGCTGGGACTACAGACACAAACCACCACACCTGGCTAATGTTTTTATTTATTTTTTAGAGACAGGTTTCGCCATGTTGGCTATTCTCAAACTCCTAGGCTCAAGCTATCCACCCTCCTCGGCCTCCCAAAGTGCTGGAATAGGAGGCGTGAGCCACCAAGCCTGGCCACCTCTCCTTAATTCTAAGCCCTGGTCCAGCCCAGTCCTGGACAGACTCCTCCCAACACACAGCCACCTGGGTGGGCTCTCCTCGCCCAGCAAACATGGCTCCTGTGTCCAGCATCCAAAGGAACTGATGAGAGAGGACAGGGAGAAGGTGACAAGTACAAGCACCTGCAGTTCCCACCAGCAGCAGGAAATACTGAGCTGTGACCAGAAGGGGAACTTCCTAGCATACATGAGAACTCTGGTTACCTCCAGCTGGGGAAGGGCAGCCCTGGAGGGCCCTCAGCTGAGGAGTCTGATTTTAGGATAGAAAATGCTGGTTAAAAAGACCGTAGTCATGGTGGAGAGACGTTTCCCAGAGATAGACCTGGGATCCAGGTGATTCGAGATGGGCTGTAGGAACCAAGGCCTCCCCCAGCGTGAAATTACCAGGTGTGAGCAACGCCACCCCGCTGTGGGGAGTCGGGTCCCACGCACACCGGGCACCCGGCTGTGCCTCATTCCTGCATCTCCCATGGCCTCATGCCACAGCGAGAGACAAGGGGGCGCTGATTCACAGCCCGGCTCTGCCCTGTGCCAACGCAGAGCCCCGGGCGCAGGACAGGGCCACTCTGTGGCTTAGCTTCCTCAACCGTGAAGTGGGATAGACAGGGACCTGGTGCCCTCCTAGAGGCACAGTGGGGACGAAACACACCAACATGGGGCAGGACACGAATGCTCCAAGCCTGTCTGTCGCAGCTGTTCCCACTGCACACCAGAGAGCCAGAGGCCTTGGAGCCAGGTCACTGGCCAGCACAGCACCCAGGGAGACCTAAGCAGTGGCTCTGCACCCCCTGCCACTTCTGGGTGATTCTAGAGGAGTCCCCTTACCCAGGGCCCCTCTGGCCTCTCCCCAAGAGGCACAAAGCAACCCCCAAGGGAGCTCCCAGACTCGAGCCTGTGACTCTTCCCAGTCTCCTGAGACACTGGCCCAGTCCCGGGGCTCCCTGAGGTAGGGCCCTACATCCCACGAGGGTTTGGAGGGGACTGAAAATGGGGGTCTGGCTGCCCAGCCTTGTGAGGAGCTCTCCCCATCTGCCCAGCCCCTCCCCAGCCCCTGTGGCCCCCAAGCCATCTCCGCCGAACTCCATCAGTGGCCCAGTTGGAGAAAGGCCAGCTTGACAGGAGCTCTCTGTGGGACAAGCAGGATGAGTGGGTGTTTCTACACTACAGGACACTCACCCCAGGCGTCAGTGGGTGTGTCTACACTGGCAGGTTGGCACCTGCTCTGGGAGGGTGCTGCCATGTGGGCTAACGTGAGCCACCTGCAGCTTTCACAACCTAGGGCTCCGAGGGCCTGGAGCAGTGCTGAGTGGGGTGGCATGAGCAACAGGCTCTGCCCAGTCACTCGGGAGCTGAGTGAAGCAGGTGGACACTGCCGTGTGCAGGAGTCACCAGGGAGACCAGGTGGCTCAGCCCGGGCACGCTGGAGGTCGTTCCACCCCTTCTCACCTGCACCAGGCATTTGTTCAGATGCCCCACCACCTCCCTCAAGGCCCTCCAAGGGTCCCGGTCATCCGGGGACAGCAGAGGCTCCTGGTTCTCAGGCCCGGTGCCACCCTCCCTCCACCAGCAGCCCCTCATGGGCCTCACCAGGGTGAGGAGCAAAGGCTTCCCCGGCCGTTTGCTCGGCCTCACCTTGTTGTGCAAGGCCCAGGCACACCTGTGTCGGGGAGAGGACAGCAAGGATGCCGGCGGCAGTGCCAGCTGGGCTCAGGAACCATGCTGAGGAGCCCAGGGTATGCCCAGGTGCCAAGGGCCAGCTCTGGGGTCACACTTTTGCCCTCCTGGACCTCCAGCCAAACGGAGGGACCGACAGGAACCGTCACCTGGGCAGGTAGAGAGGCCTGGAAGGAGGCAGCTCCCACGCTCCTCACACCCAGCAAAAAGGGGTCAGGGGCTGGGGGCAGCAGCAGGGAGTCCCTGGCCATCCCAGGCCAGTGCATGCACACATGGTGGGGGCGAGGGGTCCACACCCCTGATTTCAGCCCCAGCTGAAATCACGAGGTCACCCCTGACCTTAGAGCACCACCCCCACCGGGCAGCAGCAGGGCCCACCCCACCCGCCCACCTGCCCAGGCTGTGCAACCAGGCTGGCACAGGTCAGCCTGTGCAGGGTGGCCTGGCTCACGGTGGAGGCTGAGTCAGGAGCGTCAGGCAGTGCAGGGTCTGGAAGGGTCCCGAGGGGCTCACCACCAGAGTGTGAAGCCCCCTGGACATTCATGGCCTTCTGCAGCCCCATGGAGCCCTGGTGTGACCCTGGCCTGAGAGGGGGGCCGGGTGCAGTGATGCCGGGATGACGGAAAACCAAACAGCAACTGGGACGGGATTGTGAGGACTAAAGAGTTAAGCGGGAGCAGCGTGCTCATCCAGGGGTTGGAGGGCTGCCTGGAGGAGGTGACTTCAAGCTCCAGAATGAAGGCGCAGGAGGTGAGGAGATGGGCAGAGGGTGTCTGGAGGAGGGACCAGTCTGGGCAAAGGCAGGGTGGCAGGAAGGAGGAGGGGCAGCTGGGAAAGGACCTCCTGGCCGAGTCATCTCCAGGCGCTCCTCCCCGCCCGGCTCACACAGCTACGCCGGGAAGGATGGGCCAAGTGCCCCCCATCACCCCCACAGAGCCTGAGCCCGACTCCCCACACACGTCCACAGTCCCGGACCCAGACAGGCCCACTCGGGGCCAGGCTGTATAGACCTGGTGAGGAGATGCCAGAGACTTTATTGTCATTATGCCCAACAAAGGCCTTCAGGCTTTGCATGAGAGCAGGCTGGGAAGTAGCCCCAGCAGTGGGGTCATGCCTGAGACCCCTCCAGCAGGTCACGGCAGGCAGGAATGGCTTACACTGCAGCAGGACGGCTTCAGGTTAGACACCAGGCAGCACTTCCTGAAAACATGAGGGCTCCTGAGAACATGTGGAGACCCAGGTAGTGTGTGAAGGCAGGGCAGAGAGACAAGCCCAGGTACCCAGTCTGTGAGGCACAGCCCAAGAGCCTGAGCAAACCCAGCTTGAGACTATGGGAGGGCCAAGCAATGGAGTGGGAATGGGGGTGTCAGCTGGGAACTGACCTGGGAGACAAGCAGTAGCACCAAGTCTAGGGGGTCCCAGTGGGGCAGGGTGCGGGGGCAGGGGTGGGTAAGGGGATGCTGCGCCCTGGCTGAGCCGTCAGTGTTCAAGTCTGGTCAGTTCCTTCAGGAAGCCCTCCCTGACTGCTCCTTTCTCCTTCCCCTCACCTCTAAACTGTGTTCCACCCCAGACATCCCCAGGAGGGGCTCTGAAGACCCTAAACTGGCTGGGATCCATCTCAGCCTCCTCTGGTTCTGCCCCCCTTGGTTACGCCCCCCGATCCAGCCCTGGGATCCAGGAGCCCGGGGATCCAGCCCTGCACTAGAAGCTCATTTGGGGGTGTCAGCCCCGCCTAGGGACTTACTGGGCATGGGACCTGGGCACCAACTGCACCCTCCAGGCTCTGTAGAAAGGCCACCACTGCCAGGTTCCCGGCTGCCTCCGCCTATGGGGAAGCAGTGGGGAGGCACTGCCTTGGGGCCACTGACCAGCAGCCTGGCCGAGGACCCCCATCCCCAGGACGCGTTCCCCCTCCCCCAGCTCACACACACAGGGTCCCAGCAGCTTCTTCACTCTCGTCACCCCCACCGCTCAGCGCCCCCGGGAAGGGGACCCAGTCTGTGTGGGTCCTGCATGGGGAGGGCTGGGGATTTGGGAGAGGGGCAGAGCAGGGAGCTGGTGAATTGTCCAGGTGTCCTTCCTGGAGGTGGCAGCCTTTGGAGAGGGTGCAGGGGGTGGGGGCACTCACGACGTGCAGGGCGCTGTACCCATCATAGCCTGGCTGCCCCAGGTCAGCCCCTGCCTGCCACCACACCTGCAGGCCTTCGAGGTCAGCCCTGTATGCCAGCCTGGGGATGGGGACAGAGGAGGAGTTGTTGGCCACCTGTCCATCTGCCCACCTGCCTGTCCCCCAGGTGCCCTGGACGCTCTTACAAAGCCAGCCCCAAACAGCTGACCCAGCAGCGACCTGGTCCTGCGGCAGGAGTCGCTGGAGGTCATCGGGCAGCCTGGAGTCTGGTTTCACCAGTAGGTGGGACTACGACTCCAGTCATGGGTGCACATGCACAAACATACATGAACACACATGCATGCACAGCAGCATACACACCAGCATACATGCACACACACAGGAGCACACAAGCACACACCCACACAGGCACACTCACGAGCATATATGCACACACAGGAGCACATGCACCTTTGCGCACACATACGCACGCCCACCTGCTGAGCAGCCCATGCCGGTTTCGTGTTTCACAACACCGCTCTTCCCGGGGCGGGGTCCGCAAAGGTGGAAGGAAAAGTTTGAGGCAGCCCAGTGGTTCAGAGAGGGGGACGCAGGAGGCACCCCAGGATAATGGTTGGCCCTGGACCCTGGCAGACTGCATGGGGGGTGGTCCTGGCTGGGACAGGGGTCTGGGCCCACCTGCCAGGACCTCGCCAGCTCCTCCTCACCCTGCCACCCTCCTGGGGAGAACTCACTCCCCTCCTGGGGCGGCCAGGCCAGGTAGGGGCCCGGCAGGGGAGGCCAGGCCAGGCCAGGTAGGGACCCGGCAGGGGAGGCCAGGCCAGGCCAGGTAGGGACCCGGCAGGGAAGGCCAGGCGCAGGCCAGGTAGGGGCCCGGCAGGGGAGGCCAGGCCAGGCCAGGTAGGGACCCGGCAGGGGAGGCCCCACCCCTGGTGTGCAGGGGCTGGGGGTAGTGGCCTGGTGAGGGAGGGGCTGCCCCCTCTTCCGGAGGGCCCTTAGGGACTCTGCTCCTACCCAGGAAACAGCAGCAGCCCTGCAGTGGCACTGGGTAATCTCTGGGGCGATTCTGCTAGGTGGCCTCACTGGCCCCTCCTGGACCTGCCCCAAGAGGCCAAGCCCCACACACACACTGGCCCCTGGGAAGGCCTGGTCGAGGGGCTCGAGTCCAGCCAGCAGGTCGGGCGGGCCAGGCCCACTTCCAAGCAGAGTCCCAGACCAGGATTCTGGTCCCAGCTCCCACAGGACCTAACTACTGCCTCAGTTTCCCCATCTGTCAGTGGCGCCAACAAGGCCCGCGTGGAGTGCAAATCTGGACCAAGTCACCCCAGAAGTCCCTTCAAAAGCAAGACCAGGGGTTGTGGGCCAGTCCCAGAGGAGGAGCCAGAGCTGCTAGTCCTCCTCCTGCTGGGCAGGCGCCTGCACCCACTCCCCTCCCAGCCAGTGAGCCAAGCCCCCGCCATCACCCACTCCCCAAGCCTGGGACTCTGGACTTACAGGGACACAGACCCCACCACTCACAGCACCCCCACTCCAGCAACCACCTGTACCCGGCCCAGGTCTCCTGCCTCCGACTCTCCCTTCTGGGTCCCTCAGAGCCATCCTGGCCTCAGGCAGCCCAGGCTGGGCACAGGAGGCAGCGCCAAGTCACCAGGCACAAGGCTTGGGGTGGGGGGCAGCGATTCTGGCTGTGGTGGACACAGTAGGATCCCTGCAGCCCTGGCCCACCTCCACCCACAACCAACACCCTCACCAAAGGCCTCCCTGCACCTCAGCCTCCCCAACAATAACACGATGTCAGAAGGCCTGAGCCTGCCTCGGTGGTCACTCAGGCAGCATGAGATCAGAAAGCACATTGGCCACTGGTGCCATGTGGCCAGCAGGTGGGGGCAGGGCCTAGGTCAGTTTATCGCAGGACGGGAACCACGCTGGGCTCTCGAGACCTGTCACCTGCCAGGGGCTTCAGCTCCCCTGTGCCCCACCTGCCCCAGCCTCCCCAAATGCAGCCCCAGCCACCCCCCAGCCCACATCCCAGCCCCTCTCACAGCCAACCGCCAACTCCCATACCCCTCCTCAAGCCCACCACACACACACGCATGCACAAACACACACACACGCATGCACAAACACACACACGCATGCACACACACGCATGCACACACACACGCATGCACGCACACACACACGCATGCACGCACACACGCATGCACGCACACACGCATGCACACACGCATGCACGCGCACACACACGCATGCACAAACACACACACGCACAAACACACATGCATGCACGCACACACACGCATGCACAAACACACACACTCATGCACAAACACACACATGCATGCACACACACTCATGCACAAACACACACGCATGCACAAACACACACACGCATGCACACACACATGCATGCACAAACACACACTCATGCACGCACACACATGCATGCACACACATGCATGCACGCATGCACACATGTGCACACACGGACACCCTTGCTGGACTGTTCGCTCAGCTGAGAACAACTCCTTCCCCTGCCCCATGACATGCTCCCAGGCAGACACCTCTTCCCGCCAGTCAGGCTGGTGCACACTGAGGTCAGCGGGCCTTGCCTCTGAAGCCCCCACACCCTGACTCACCTGTCCCTCCCAGCAGGTCTAGCTTTCCTTCCCCAAGCTGTGTCCCCCACATGCCTGGAAGAGCAGGTGCTGTAGCTGCGCTCACCTGCACAGCTCCGTCCCTGCCTCCTCCAGCTCCTGGGTGGACAGGGAGGCCCCGGCTTCCCGAAGCAACCCAATGACACCTGAATGCCTGTGTGAGAATGAGCATGCTGACCTTCTGCCCTGGCCAGCCCAGCTCCGCTGCACCTCACTCAGGAGCCAGCAGGGACAGGGACTTGCCTGCCCAGGACCCCACAACCCTAGCCTCAGATGAGGGCCCATCCCTCCATCCTCTGCCTAGGCCCATGCGACATCATCTCGGGGTCCCACCACCTCCATTTGTCCAGAACACCTTCTTAGGGCAGCTCAGGTCTGCAAGGGGTAGGGGTCAACTCTGCGGCAACCCCGCACCCAGCCCCCAGGGGAGGGCATTGGTTGGTGCTGGCGGAATAGCTCCTCCCAGGGCAGTCTCCCCCACCCATCCCAAGGGGACAGCCCATTCCAGAGGACAGCCTTACATGAGCTGACCGGCCCCACTGCACACCCAAACGCTGATCACACCCCATGGTGACCTCCTCAGCCAGGCCCAGCAGACACTGAATCAATCCGGCTGACTGCCCTTGGGGTGCAGTGGGGGCGGGGCACCCGGACAGTGGAGTCTGTGGTGGGGTTGGGGCTCTAGCAAGGCCTTGGAGCAGACGCACAAAGGCCCGAGGCCACATAGCCCATTGCATGGGGTGACCTAACGATTGTGCCGTAATCACTGGCCATGCCCCCACCCCTGCAAAGCACCACAAATCCCCCCCGTCACCCCATTTAGGGAGCCTGGGGAATAGGTATGAGGCGGTGGCCTCCTCGCACCCCACTAGGGCACAGCAGGGCCAGGCAGGCGGCCTCGGGGAGCCTGGCGGTGGAGTGAGGCCGGGAGACCAGTTGGGGGGTCGCTGTGAGCCTGGTCCTGTGAGTCAGGAAGGGACGAGGGGGTGGGCCTGTGTGAGCTCATCTCTGTGCCACCCACCCACGCCCAAGGACTCCCAGTCTAGAATCTCCAGTCCAGACCACCCCAGCCCTGCTTGGGGGACCCTCAGCCCCTCCCCTCCTGTCCACCACCCTGTTCTCTCCTGTTCTTTTGAGTACCCTGTCAATGCTCACAGGAGCCTGGAAAGAACTTTCTACCCCAGTCACTGACTTGACAAAGGGCACCCCACCCCACCCCAGGACTCACCGCTGGGGAGGGAGACCCACAGCTGAACACGGCAGGGTCATATGACCCTAGGCTCAGACACCCCGGCCTTCTCTCCATGGGACTCCTGAGCACTCCCTCCCCAAACAGAACCCAGGGTCCTGCAGGCCAAGTCCTCCCACCCGCAGGGAGGAATCCCCAGGAGCCCTGGGATCTCTGAGCAGCCACGTGCGTCTGGGCAGTGGCACCAGCAGACAGGTCCTCGGCCTTCCCAGGCCCGGGGCTGCTGGGCGTCCAGGGGCAATAGAGTAGGAAGGGGAGACGGGACACAGATCCCACCAGTGCTGGCCCCGCCCCCTACGCAGGGGCAGAGGCACAGACTCTGCCTCTGCTACTGCTCGGGGCTTTGGGAAGAGACACCAGCCAGGGCTTGTGGGTGGGGCAGGGGACCCCCAAATGCATGGGCTGGGCCTGTCCTCCAGGACCCGAGTTGCCTGTTGCAGCCCCAGATCTGCAGCCGAGTAGCCTGCTTTTTATTGACCGCATCTGGCTGCTGGGCCAGGACCTTCTGCCCTAACTCCACCCCAGCCCCCCATACCCACAGGTGTACAGAGATGACTCGGGAGCACCGGGTCCTCCCGGCTTTGTCCATACCATTTTTGTTTTCTAGGAACTCTGGGCTGGGGTCTTACTGGGCCCCAGCCTAGGGGGGCAGCCTTTAGGAAGCAGATGTCCTCCTCCTTTCCCAGCCCAGCCCCGGGAGGCTGTTTGAGCACAGGAGCCCACAGCCTCTCTGCACCCACCTGCCCAAGGCAGCTCTATGCACCGCGGGCCCCACTACCTGCCCCGCACGGCCAGCAGCAGCGGGCTGAAGCCGTCCGTGTCCCGGGTGTTCACGTCCACACCTCCCTGCAGCAGCATGGTGACGGCCTCTGCGTGGCCTCCCCGGGCGGCCGCGTGCAGTGGGGTTTGGCCGTTAAAGTCCACCAGGCCCAGGTCACTGCCCTGAGGTGACACAAGGACACGCACCCCTGAGGGAGGGCCGGGCGGGGCCGGGTAGGCCATGGGGAGGGTGGGGTCCCTCTGAGGGTAGGGCCCAGCACAGCCCCTGCGCCCACCCCCAGAGCCGGAGTGAGACCCCACAAGCTGGCAGGACAGTCCTGCTGCCCAGCCTGGCCGACAAGGGCTTCGTGGGCGGATGAAAGGCCATCCTGCCTAGAGGGTTCAGAGCCCCCGGGCCAGGTGTGACTGGGGCTAGGCCCCCAGGGTCGGGGAGGCTCACCAGCTCCACAAGCACCTGCAGCACCTCCAGGTTGCCGGCGTGGGCGGCTGCACAGGCCAGGCTGGGCATCAGGGCATTCCGCAGGGCATCTGCCTCCTGGGTGGGGAAGGCGGCACCCTGGGACCCATGCCTCCCTCTGGCATCTGGTGGGACTGGCAGTCCCTGGTGCTGTGTGACCCCTGCCAGCCCCCACACAAGGGCCCACAGATCCCAGGGCGTGGGTGAGAAGGAACCTGAGCTGCCACGTTGGAAGTCCTGCGGTGGAGCCTCACTACCCCACCCCACCCAGGTCCCCTGCCCCTGGAGCCAAGGCCAGGCCACGAGACCACCATCCAGCTCTGTCCCCAACAGGTGTGTGGCCAGGGCCTGCTACCCACCCTCCAAGACACCCCCATCTGCTCCCACCACTGTCGGGACAGAATCGTAAGTCACCCTCGTGAGGAGTGTGGGAAGGGGAGCCAGACCCCTCCCCTGGGAGGAAGGCCCTGTTCCCACGGCTGCACCTTCCCAGAGGAGCCACCTGCCCCCAGCACCTGGCATCCAGGAGTTCACCAAGACGCCAAAAGGCCGGGGTCCTGGCAGAGGCCTCACAGGTGCCACCATACCCAGCAGGCACAACATGGCCTGGTGACAAGGCTGCTGCCTCTGGCCTGTCTCCCTAGAGCATTCAAGCCCCATGCAGCTGCCCTAATAACGGGCCATGCACGCCAGTCCTTTCCATCTGCGCATCACCCACCCCAGCAAGTGACAGTTGCAGCACATGGCTCACAAGACAGGTCCATCCCTATAGGGGGGAAATTGAGGCACTGAGGCCAGGGCAGGACCCCAGGCAGTGGGGAACAAGGCCATCTGGCCTGCCAGGCCCCATGTCAGGCCTGGATATTTGGTCCAACAGCCAAGGGGGCATGTTGCGGGGTCCAGGGAGGCCCCATTCCCCTGCAGACCCCAGGCCTCAAAAGCCCTCCTTCCTAGGTCTAGGCACCCCAGTTGTGCAGGGGACGTGCTCAAGGGCTGGTCCTCACCTCCAGGTTCAGGTGGGGGCCTGGAACCCCTGGTGCTCAGAGCCTGGGAGAGCCCAGAGCAAGCACCGCCCCCACTCACCCACCCATCTTCCGGACAGGCAGCTCCCAAGGCAGCCCTGCACTAAAGCAGCGCTGCCAGTCAGAAGGCAGTGGCCTGCCGAGCCCTGTCCCCCAGCCTCCCTGCTGTGTGCCCACTGCCTGGCCCTTCCTGCATCCTGCCCCAGGGACCCTGCAAACCCTCCTTGCTGCAGACCCCAAACCCTCCTCCTGGGCCCCAGAACCGGGGTGTGCCTAACTGTTTGGGCTGGAGTGATGGCTACAGGGGCTCGTGCCTGCCTGGTGCATCCCAGGGTGACCAAGAGGATGCACAGCCCCCAGCTGCCACTCAGGCCCGTGTGCCACGCCATTACCTGGCTGCCACTCAGACTGAGGAGCCAGGAGACCCCACGGCCCAGCGTGTTGCCCTGCAGTGAGGGCTGGCACTCTTCCACCGAGGGTGGTGTCATCTCCCCACGAAGGTCCTTGGTCAGCAGCTGGGGGAGAGAACAGAGGCGCAGTGGCTCTGCAAGGGCTGGATGGGCAGCCCAGAACAGCCTGGAGGGTCGGGCTACCCAGGCACAGGTAGAGGTTGCCCTCGGCCTGAGCCTCGGCCGTGTGTGCTTCATCCCTCGGGCCAGAGTGGGCCAGGTCCCCTCGCAAGGCCAGCCCCCCTCCCTGGCCTTACCAGCTCGGGGTCTCCAGGGGCCCCAGAGGTCTCTGCCCAGCCCCAGGGGCTGGCAGCCCAAGGGTCTGGGGCCAACTGGGTCTGAACCCTACCCTCCAGGAAAAGTGGGAAGCAGGAGAGGATTTCCTGGCGACAGTTAGGGGAACTTCAGGTCTCCATACAGGCTGAGAAGGAGCAAGGACAGGCGGAGCCTGGGCTGGGGGTCCGGTGAGGGCTGTGGGGAGCCTGGGCCCAGAGCTGCCCCTCACCACTATGGGGAGCCACATCCCTCCCCTTCCCAAACAGGACACACCCTGGGCCGGCCCCCAGGCTCTTCCGGCACTGCCCCAGGCATGCCCTGGGAGCCAGCTGACAGGCTTGTGCACACCGAGGGTCGCCCACAGCCCCAGAGCGCCCGCACCTCCTTCCTGTCATCCAGGCTCAGCCCTGGCTGGCCCAGCACATACGACAGCTTGGCCAGCGCGGCCTCCGACGTCATGTCGAAGCCTGAGATGACGCCAGCTCCCTCCATGGCCTGTGAGGAAGGGGCATGTGGGCAGGAAGGGTGACTCACCACGGCCCCCAGCCCGTGAGGGGTGGGTCAGAGCCCACCTCTGCCAGGCCCTCAGACTGTCCCCTTCCCTGCTAGGCCCTGATCTCCTGGCACTACCATGCCAGCTGCATAGTCTGTGGTCACAGTCCCCTGGAGGCAGTGGGTACAGTTGACGATGACCAGGCCGCGTTCTGTCGCCATCTGCAGCTCCTGCAGCAAGTCGGGCTTGGTGGGTCCGTTCCCCGAACCGAAGGTCTCCATGACCACGCCCTTCAGCGGAGGCTGCAAGAAGGCCCGCACCTGTGGGGCGGTGGTGGGAGGGAGGGCTGGATGGGGAGGGTCTCTGCCCTCAGCATCACTGAGGCTTGCCCCGTGTCCTCCCAAGGAGAGGGACCCCAAGCCAGGGGCAGCTGGTGCCTGCCCTGCTCCCAGCACAGCGGGGCTCCTGGCAGGTATGCATGGCTGCTGGCACCTGCAGGGGCTGCTCCCCCCACATTCTCCCAAAGGGTCGCCCTGTCTGTAGGGACGAAGGCCTTGTGTGGCAGAACACCGTGGAAACACTTCAGAGAGGTGGGAGAGGAGCCAAGAAGGCCATCAGAGGCCCCAGCACAAACGCCCTTGTCCAGCACAGCAGGGGCGGCTCCGAGCCAGCTGGAATCTGGGGGAGGACGCTGCCTCTAGGAAAGCATGGAGGACCCTGTTCTGGCTGTGAGCCGCGCCCCAACCCTGCCCACTCCCCAAGAGGCTGGAAAGCACCATGACCAAGGACGGGGACAGGGCCTGGGGCCGGTGTGGCCACACTGCAGACATCTCGAGTCCGTGTCTGGTGAGGGCCCCAGGGAGCCTGGGCACCACGGGAGCTGCAGAGGGCTGGGGCTCGGGGCTGCAGGGGCAGGATGGCCAGGGCGGTCCCTACCAGGGCGGCGGGGATCCCAGGGTAGAGGCGTAGCAGGCCCACATCCTGCTCCATGCTGCTGTGCACCACCAGCCCCGCCTTCCCGCCGACCTTCCGCACCAGCTCCCTGTTGACTGACGACAGGGAAGGGCCTGTGTGGCACCTTCAGGTCTCCCGCCAGCCGAGACCCCAGCCCAGCGCCTGGCCCTCTGCACAGGCCGCCTCCTCCCTTGTTTTCAGAGCCCTGAGCCTTCGCACCTCAGTCCCCTTGCCCTGCCTCCTCTCCCACAGGCAAATCCTCCCAGGCTGTGGCACAATCCGGCCTGTGCCAGGCTCCGCAGCATGCACGGGGCTGCAGGAGGAGGCACTCAACCAGCGAGAGACCGATGGGCAACAGAGTCTCAAGGGTGACAGCCCAGGAAATCTCCGCTGGCCAGGCAAGGGGGCAGGAGGGTCCCGCAGAGATGGAGGCCCAGCTGTGCCTTGCAGGCTGCATGGGGGCGTCGGGTGGGCGCAGAGACGAGGAGGGCAGGTGTGCCCAGCTGGGAGCCACCAGCAGTCGCTGCGCTGGGTCACAGGCGTGGGCCAGCATTGTCGAAACAGCCGGCCTCCTCTGCCCCTTGCTGGGCACCCACTGTGCCCACTGCCCACCGGCTCAGTGGTTGAATGAGTGAACAAATGGACTTGCGGATCCCTCACCTCTGGGGAGAGAAGGCCTCCATCCAGTTCACCCCAAAATCCTAATGTGCACCCCTCACCCCCTCCCCATACCCAGGGTGGGTGATGGTGGAGGTGCAGGCTCCAGGTGAAGTGGAGAGGGATGGATATTTGGGGTCAGTGCCCCTTGAACCCATCCATGCAGACGGGCTCCCCAGAGGGCACACCTGTCCTCGAGCTGAAGGCCGCCTCTCTGGCAGCACTTGAGCCCCCAGGGTTCTTCCGACCTTCTCGCTCCACTGTGGGTGGGGGTGGGAGGCAGACGCCGCAAGCCCGGCCCCCAAACCCTCAGAGGCCAGCGCCGAGGATGGGGTCCATTCCCTCGGCCCCTCTCCACACTCATGGCAGCCTCCAGCAGAGCAGGGCTGGATACTGGCGATTCCCACCGCACTGTGCGGTGTCAGAGCCTGCCCAGGGCAATAAACACCCTGGAGGCCGGAGAGCCCAGCCCAGGGAAACCGAGGCCCAGAGGCAGGGAAAGGCCTGGGCGCCTAGAGAGCCTGGCACAGTGCTGGGACAGGAACCTGGGCAGGAGGACCCCCACACATGGCTCTTCCTCCTGCCCTCAGGGAGATGTCGCCCATGTGTCTCTGGCCACTTCCACCAGAGCAGCTTACATGCGATAAAAAGGACTTCCTTGGCATGGTGGAGCTGAAGAGGGGAGATGTGGGGTGCTGGGGATGAGAAAGTGGGGAGCAGGGACCCGGCAGTGAGTCTTCCACCCCCCCCAGTGCCCACAGCATCAGTCAGGCGCACACGATGGCAGCGTGAGATGCCCTTTAACTGACAGTGTGTGTCTCAGCTGGACAAGCAGATAAGGCATCAGCACAGGGAAGGAGGAGGCACCGCTGCCACCAGCAGAGAGTTATGGCTGCAGAGGGGGTTATTACACAGAGACAAAGAGGGCCCACGCCCACCCTGCACTGACCGTCGCCTCCTGAGGGTCTGTGGGGGCCACCCCTGGGACCCCAGTCCTTCCTGTCCAGGCCTGCTGGAGGCCAGGGGGATGATGAGTCCACACCCAGCGGCAGAGAGGAGCGCCAGGTGAGGCCTGCTGGCTCAGCCCCTCACCCCCCAGGAGGGACTGTGGCCCTGCTTTACAGATACCAGAGCTTAGCACAGGAGCCGAACGGTGTAGTCTGCAGCCTCAAGGCTGGATGTGGCACAGCTGGGGTGGCTGGGACATGTCTGGGAGGGAGGTGGCTTCTCCCAGTGCACAGGGAAGGGCTCTGGGGCTCTGTGTTGGGATGACCCAGCGAAAGGACCCACAGCTGGTGCGTGACAGGCCTGGCCTGACCCCAGAGCCATGTCCCCTTCTCCACCCTCCTCTGCTCCAAGGGCCCCAGCAGAGCGGGCCAGGGCCAGGGTTCAGCACAGAAGGGTAAGGGTGCAGGATTTGCCTGGGGGTGACAGTGTGGTCTCCTCAGACACATGGAAAGGACAGGGCCAGCAGGGCCTCCTCCAGCCTCCCATGCACCCCCCACTCCTTGGTGCCGAGCCGACTGTGGACAGGAGCACCAAGCCCGCCCATGACTCCCAGACCAGCCCAGCCTCTCACTTCCCAAACAGTAGGTAAAAAACCAGGACAAGCCCTCAACAGGGTGCTTGTAGCTGGCATCCCGGCCCAGGTTGGCATTGCTACCCCCAGCTGGTTCAGAGAGGGTGAGGGTGTACACTGCCAACCCGTGCCCCTCCTCAGGGGCCCCAGCAGCCACGCCCTGGGCAAGGCCTGAGGTTTCTCAACACCAGGTGCCAGAACCGGCTCGGCAGCCTGGCATCAGGTTCCCACACCCACATGCATGTGGGAAACACTCAGGGGTAGGGGGCTGGGACCGGGACAGCCTCTCGTCCAGACCAGCCTTAGAGCTACGCCCAGGAGCTGCTCCGCGGCCCTGGGCCTGAGGCCGGTGTGTCTTGAGCCTCATGGCCTGCCCAGGCTTAGCACCCTGTGCTGGCGGAGTCCCTGGAATCTGGAGCACGGTCCTCTGCGCCCTGCCGGGGCGGGGTCCACCCACCAGCAGAAGCTCCGCTCCTGAGCCCCAGGTAAGGTGTGAATCAGGCCCCACGGGGGAGCCGGGCCTGCAGGGCACCGCCCACACCTCTCGCTGCTCCTTCTCCCTGGGCTGGAGGGGCCGAGTGCCAGCATCCAGCATGGGCAAGCAAGCCAGTACCCCACCAGCACCAGCTCACAAGCCACCTCCTCCAAGAAGCCTTTCGGGCTGCTCCGGCCCTCGGTGAGCAAGTGGACCCTGCCCAGGCCCGATACCCGGTGTGCTGCACACGTGTCAGACACACTGATGTGTTCTGGGCATCACACTCCCTAGAAGGTGCTCGAGGGAGCAGCAGTCCCCCTGCTGGAACAGGGACACAGGCAAGGACCCTGGGGAGCTCCAGGGCCTGGCATGAGGGGGCCCTGGGAAGGGTCTGGCAGGGCAGGGGCCTTCCTGGAGCACCCACCAGAAGCCAGGGACAGGAGGGGCTCTGGGCACGTCTGGCTGCAGGGCCGTCTGCAGAAACGGGTGGAGGCAGGTGATTCTGAAAGCCCCCAGCATCTTTGGAGCTCAGGGTGTGAGCCCAGGACAGGAGACAGCGCAGGCTTGAGTCGGTGCCTCCCTGTGGGAGCCTGGCTCTCTCTGCCTCCGTTTCTCACCTGTAGAACCAGGCAGTTTCCTCTGTTCTGTCCTGCTGAGGGGCCCTGGGGCAACAAGCAAGGCCGCCACCGAGCCCGGACTCCCACATGCATGTCTTGTCTTGAGCGCCAAAGATGCCAGGGGCTTTTGGAATCACCTGCCTCCACCCATTTCTGCAGACGCCCCACAGCCAGACGTGCCCAGAGCCCCTCCTGTCCCCGGCTTCCGGTGTGTGCTCCAGAAAGGCCCCTGCCCCGCCAGACCCTTCCCAGGGCCCCCTCATGCCAGGCCCTGGAGCTCCCCAGGGTCCTTGCCTGTGTCCAGCAAATCTTCCGGGAGAGAAGTGGTGCCCCAGCAACCCACAGTCCAACCCTTTCTCCAGGAGGGTCTGCTCCTCCTTAAAATGGGGAGTGGGGAGCGGGGAGCCCCTGCTGCACCGGGAGATTCCCTAGGAAGCACCTCCTCAGGCGTCCAGTGGCCTTGTGGGCTTGAGCCATCAGCCCGCCATGACCCAGGCCTGGATAGAAGCCCAGCGTGGGAGAGGGGGCACCTCCAGCCCACCCCTCAAAGACGGGAACAGCTGCTTCAGTCCTGGGCAGGCAGCCCCACCCAGCCCCAGGCGAGGCGTCAAATGCGCCCAAAGGAAGGCCAGTGCTGCCAAGCCCTGGAGCCTCCCCCGGGCTGGACCCCACCTCAGTCAGTCAGGATGAGACACAGGGCAGGTTTGGGGCTGCCACGAGACAGCAGGGGGCCAGGGTAGGCAGGATGCGTCCCGCAGGAGGGAGGGGACACTCCTGTCGCCTCAGGGAGGAGTGCTGGGGTGGGGTCAGAAGGACCGGCCATGCCGGTCATGGACCTGGAGCGGGCAGGAGCCGGGTAGAGTCCAGGAGGCAGGGGCTCCCTCAGGAGCCGCACATCCCAGACGGAGAGACGGTAGGCCAGGGAGTGACTTCCGGGCAGGCCATTGGAGAGGCCCTGCGTCTCAGGTGAGGTCTGGCAGGGCAACGGTCTCTGAGAACAAGCCCCAAGGCTGCTCCTACAGCCAGGGCCAGGGGGCAGGCTGGGCCCTCCAGGAGGAAGCCTCAGGACACAGGACCGGCTGGAGTCAGCCCCACAAGGATGGCTGGGCTGCCTACCGGAACCGGAGGACAGAAAGAGTCCCTGAAACTCCCGGGGACAAGGCACACAGAGGTGCAGCAGAGCCAGGTGGTCATTGAGGACCTCCTAGGCCTGGGGCCAGGGGTTGGGCAGGACACACGAGGGCCAGATGCCCCAAACCTGTCTTCCAGGTCTCCCGCCTCTGAGCCTACAGGGACCTGTGGAGGCCCCCACCTCTGTGGCCACGCAGCAGGCCTGTCCACGCAGCCCTGGCTTCTCCACAGCCCGGGCCAGAAATAAGCCAGGGCAACTCAGAACCAAGCACGGTGCTCTCAAATTCTGCCGAGTCCCAGCCACGAGCTCCCTGTAGCCACCCCTTGGCCAGCACCAGCACTGGGCAGCCACCTGGCCCTGCTCTTGCAGGGCTTACCTGTGACGTCAGCACCCACAGTGGCCAGAGGCGGCAGGTTTGGGGAGCAGAAGGCCGCGAACCTCCGAGCGTCCACCTTGGTCGTCCGGTTGCCCCGAAACAGCTGATTCTGGAAGAAGAGGCAGACCTGCGGGAAGGAAGCGACAGAGCTCAGAGCAGTGGCCACCCTGTCCCTGACCCCTCTGCCCTCCAGCTTCCTCCCTGCCATCAATGGGGTGCCCAGGCCCAGGGGGAGGCGGGACTGTAACCCCACCCACCACAGGCAGAGACCCTCCTGGGAACAGGTACTGCCCCGCTCAGGCCCTTTCCTGCCCTGCCACCTACCCCCAGGCTAACTGGAGCCCACAGAGGCCTGGGGACCCCAGCGCCTGGGGTGTGCAGGTGGCTGGGTGGCAGGAGGGCACCGTACTTCCTTCCCTTCCCACCTGCCCACTGCCCCCATCCCTGTTTCTTAGAGCGCCCTGGGAACTCATCCCAAAGGTGCAGCGAGCACAGCTGATGCTGGAGACCCCCTGCCCACGGTGAATGGGAGTCCCTGAGGCCCTCAGGAGCCGGTGTTGGAGCTCTAGTCAAGCTGCTCAAGAGCCTAAGGGAAAGCCCCTGCCCCAAGGCTGGAGGATCTTTGCACACATCTTCCTGGGATACCACATGACAGGGAAAGACATGGAGGAGGGCAAGGGACACCCTTCAAAGCCATGCTGACTGCAACCTATTTTTATAGAAACTTGTATACATATCTCTAATGTAAATATCCATCGTAGGAAGTCTTATAGAAGCTTTCATACATATCTCTAATGTAAAACTTACATACATATCTCTAATGTAAAATGTACATACATATCTCTAATGTAAAACTTACATACATATCTCTAATGTAAAACTTACATACATATCTCTAATGTAAATATCCACAACGTAAGATCTAGAAGACAGAGCACCCAGCCATTGGCAGTGGCGTCTGGGGAGGGGCCTGGGGGGACTTTGTTTCCTGGCTGCTCTCGGGCTCCCGCCCCCGCCCCACCTGCCCCGCCTCCGTGCGTGCCAGGCAGGTACCTCTGGGATCACATACTGGCCGGCCATGAGCAGCGCCCCCAGCAGGTTCTCACGGCCGTCACTCCACAGGGCATGGATGGACACCTGGGGGAGAGGCCACGGAGGAGCTGAGGCCTGGGAAGCCCAGAAGCCTGGGATGCCCAGCTCATCACTCCAGGGAAACCTCCAGGCCCAGCCCAGGAGCCCCAGGTGGGGTGTGAGAGAGAGGACCGGCAGGCTTGGACTGCAGCAGGCAGCCTGGAGATGGGTGTCTTGGGGGAACGGGGTGCTCAGAGGAGCTGGGCAGTAAGCCCATCTCCAAGACCGCCAACAACAGCTGCCCCTGCGGACGATGCCAGCCTGCACCCAGGACCTCAACCCACCCACCAGCTCCCTTTACAGGTCCAAGAGCCGAGTGCTGGCAGCAGAGGCCAGCCGGTCCCCATACTGGAGAACACATCCCAGGCCTCCCACCCCAGCTGCCCTGCCCAGCTCCCTCGCTACCCCAGCAGAACTGTGGGCTGGAAGGAGGGTAGTGGGGGTGAGGGGTGGGTGGGCTGTGACAGAAAGGAACTGCCTCGTGATGCCAGGCACAGTACAGCTCCTCCCGCAGCTGCCTGTGTCTAGCATGGGCGACCGTGCCCTATGGTTGACTGAGTAGCGTATCCCAGGAGGGCACAGGTGGCCATGCAGAGGCCAGGGTCTTCAGGAGGAGGCGGCCGAGCAGTGGTCAGTGCAGGGCCTCTGGAGGGAGAGAGCCCTGGCAGGAGGTGGCAGTCCTGGGTCCTGGGTCCTGGGTCCTCCCTGGCTCAGCCCTCATGTGGTGCGTGGCTGTGGGTGAGTCCTTGGCCTATTAGCCTCAGTTTCCCCATGGGTATAACAGGGATAAGGATGCCCCGACAAAGGCCAACATCAGGGAGAGGAGAACACGCATGTGAACATTCCTGGGGCCCGCAGCGCTCATAACTATGCCCTTGATTCCCCTGGAGAGGCCCATGGGACGCTCTGCTGCCCCAGGGCTCGGGAGTGTCTGGGAAGAGGAAAACCAGCTGGAGTCCTGTCCCTCCTTCTCGAGCTCTGGGACAGGAGGTGCTGCTCCCTCCCTAACAGGTGTGCAGTGGGCCCCAGGGAGACCCTGGAGGGACAAGGGAGATGGCTCTAGGTAAGCAGAGTGGGATGGCTGAGCCGTCTCCCTGGACTGCTCCCCGCAGACCTCCTAAGAGAGCCTCCATGGAGTTTTCTGGAGCTGCCACCAAGCCCAAAGGGACATAGGTACCAGTTTCCCACACAAGACCTTAGCCTCAGCCATGGGAAAGGATCCCAACGGGCTCAGGTGCCCATTGCCACCCGCAGGCAACAGGGACCCCTAGTCAGCCTCTAGCCGACCTCCCCTGCGACCTCCCCTTCCACCTCCCCTCAAATCCAGTTTTCCAGAACAATCCACTGGCCTTGGCTTATGGGATTTGTGCTGGGTTAGGTTGAGAGAAGCGGGGAAATTGTGTGCCAGGGCGCCCAGGATGGCATTGCCTGGAACCACAGTGGGTGGACCAAAGAGAGGGACAAAGGCAGGGACGCGGCGGGAGCCTCCCAGTGCTGCTCTGTGTGCAGCCATCCTGCTGCGCCAGATGGAGAGGTGGGCAGCAGCCTCGAGCAAGCATCGGGAGGAGAGGAAGGGATGCCTGGCACCCCCAGGGCAGAGGTGGGCATGGCTCTGGGTGCTCCAGGGCCTCACAGCTCCCGGGGCCACCAGCAGGAGATGACCCCCCCCCCCATGAGGCAAGTGGGCTGGCACCCTGGCAGGACCTGAGCATTGGCAAGGCCCAGCACGGGCCCTGCAGCAGCCGGCTCAGGAGCTGCTGGGCTGAGCAGGAAGCCCAGGATCCCGCAGTGGCCGCCGGCAGCACAGACTTGCCCTGTGGCCTCAGGAAGCCCCGATTCCTAGGAGCCCCGGGCCCCTGAAGTTACCTGGGCCCCAGTGAGGATGATGGTCTTCTGCAGGTTCTCCAGCATGAAGGACAGCATCGAGGCAGCAAAGGCCATGGTGTCAGTGCCGTGGATGACCACAAAGCCGTGGTACTGCTTGTAGTGCCTCTGCAGGAGGGGCGCACACTCAGGCAGGCCAGCCCCTCAGGGAGCAGGCGTGGGGGAGGGTGCAGCAGGGGGAAAGGGTCCAGATGCAGAAGGGAGGACTCGGGGGAGGCGCCCATGGGGCCCTGGCCTGGAAGTCCCTCTCTGGAAGGTGAGCACCTGGCGTGGAGTCCTGGGACCCCCCCACTCTCCCTGCCCCGAGGCTTCCATGCCACTCAGGTGCACCCACTGCGCGCTGAGGCTCCCCTCAGAGCACTCGAGAATGAGTCCCTCTGAGGGGCCTCTGCACATTCCTGGAGGGTGGGAGAGTGCCTCACATGGCAGCAGGGGGCTGTGGTGGTGTATGAGCCTCGAAGCCCAGACAGCAGATCAGGCAAGAACACAACGGTGGGCACAAGGACGCCTGCAGGGTCAAAGCACAGCCATGGCTGGGAGCCAGCAGGTGACCATGGAAGTTGCCTGAATCTGGACCTGGGTGGGTGGGCAGGACACTGAAGGGCAGCAGTGAAGCTGGCCATGCAGGGATGTCCTGTGGCCACCACCCCCTGGAGGGTGGCAGGTCCAGGCTGTGGCTGCCAGGGCACCATTCCAAGAGCCCAGGGTCCCATACTAAGCCTGGGCCTGCCCGGTGGGCTATTGAAACACCAAGCCCTGTAGGCCCGGGGCCTGCAAAGGAGCGGAGGCCAAGGAGGGGAAGGGCGCCCTCTGCTGGCCACTCGCGGCAAGACGGCAGACTGACCCCTGAGCTAAGAAGGCCTTTGTGAGGCTGTCCAGGGCTGGTCCCTGCAGTCAGGACCACAGGGCACCTTCGTGGGCCTCAAACAGCAGTCAGGCCTTGTCCGGTGAGGGCTGCCGGCCACAGATGGAGGAGCCTGTCCTGGGTGGTGCTGCCCCCCACCCCGCTGCTGGGAAGGGGAAGCCTAGGTGTTCCCACTCAGGGGAGCAGGGGGTTTGTAAACGAAGCAGGTGAGAATTGGGACTGGAGAGGGCAGGAGGCCCCCGCCAGGGGAGGCAGCTCAGGTAACATGGGAGCGTGCTGTGGTGGGGGAGAACGGAGAAGAAAAGCTGATGAGGTGGGGGGTGGTTCTGCCTGCAGGGTGAGCACACAGGTCGCTATAAACCACAAGAATCTGCAAGAAGTGCTGTGGTCCTAAATCCACTAAGACCCCAACTGCGGAGGGGACGGACAGAGGGCAGTGAGCCGGTCACCAGCCAGGCACAAGGAGCCTGTCGGCCCTCGAGGTAGCATCACACACCATGCCCCAGCTACTAACGGAGACAGGCTAAGATAGCTGTTCCCGCTGTGTCCTCGCCTGGGAAGTCGACTTGGCCCTCTACGTCCACCCCCAGCTTGCATGAGGGAGGGGGCCTCAGAGTCTTGCCCCCAGCTCTGACATGTGGACCCTGCCCTTTCCTGAAGCTGCCATTCCCAGATGCTCCTAGGCCCCAGGCTGGGCAGGCGGACTCCACCCCAGACCCTGCAGCTCCTCACCTGTCCCAGAGTGTTTCTGTGGGCCACTGCCCATCCACCAGCCCCGCCCATACCCAGAGCCCTGCCCACACGCATAGCCCCACCCACACAAATAGCCCCACTCTCACTCTACAGCCCCACCCACAACACAGCTCCACCCATGAAACACAGCCCTGCCCACACAACACAGCCCCGCCCACACCCACAGCCCCCAACACTCCACAGCCCCGCCCACTCTCCACAGCCCTGCCCACACTCCACAGCCCCGCCCACACTCCACAGTCCCGCCCACACTCCAAGCCCCGCCCACACTCCCCATTCCCACCCTTGCTCCCTAGGGCCACTCACACCCAACAGCCCTGCCCACTCTCCGCAGCCCCACCCACACACCACAGCCCCAGCCAGCACTCCCCAGCCCCACTACCTCGATGGTCTGGGCAACGCGAACCCACTCAGCGATGGTCATGTCACTGGAGTCGAAGAGGGGCTGGCACTCCAGCACGGTGTAGAGAATCCTCTGGTTCGGGGTGGCCGGGCTGCCGGACGGGAACAGCAGGAGGCAGAACTGCAGACCCCTGCTCTGCACCTCCAAATGTCCTGACCTGTTCTGCTCCCCTCTGGCGGAGCTGGGGCCCCTACGTCAAGGGCTCTGCACATAGCAAACTCTCAGCATCCCAGGCACAGGGCCCCTTCCACCTGGAGCTCCCCACAGGGGTGAGGATGTGGGTCAGGATGGGCCACTCCCAGCAGTCTTCTTCCCACAGCAGCTCGGAGAGGGGGGCTGGGACCAGCCCATGCCCCGGCAGGAGAGGCTGCTCCCAGGTCACCCCCAGCTGTGGGGGACATCAAGGAGCTGGGCCCAGAGCAGAGAAATGGAAGGATCTCCATGCTGGGGGCAAGGCCGCCTGGGCCAGCCGGCTCCTGATATACAGGGTGCCTAGATGGGGAGCCCTCATCACACTTGCCGAACCAGCCTGGCTGGGGGTGTGGGAGAAGGGCAGGGAGGGAAGGTGGGACCAGGCACAGGGGCACCCTCAGAGGCTCAGGCTCTGGTGGAAGGCGGCTGCTGGTCAATCCTAAAGCCCTGTGAGCTGAGGGGATGTTAGAGACAGGGGTGAGCAAATGGTTCACGTGGGCCTGGCCAGCAGTGCCCAGCCTCGGGTTCGGTGCCCCCCAGCAGCCATGCCCTGCCCGGGACCAGGAGGAGCCCACACTCACGGCAGCACCAGGATGTCCTCAGAGAGGCCGCAGGCTCGGGCATGCTCTTCGTCATGGAACATGGGCAGTGTCCTCAGGATGGCAGCCAGGCCCGTCCCAGGCACGAGCACTGCAGGCAGAGTCCAGGTGGATGGTGGGGTCAGGGACTGGCAGCCATGGCCTCCTCCTCCCTCACTGAGGGGCAGGACCAGAGCTGGTGGGATGGGGCTCCTGTCTTATGACAGTCAGAGGCTTGGAGGAAGGGCTATGGCTGCCCCTGGGACGCCTCAGAGGGCAGGCCGCTGACGCACGTTTAGAAGCCATGGCTTCCTGCCTTGGAGCCCATGGTGATTCCTCATTTCACACCTGGACAGCCCCAGGAGCTCTGCCCAGGTCTCCAGCTGCTCTACCCCGGCCCTGCCCCTGCTCCCACCCCTTCTCCAAATGCTCAGTCCACACTCCTCACCAAGGTCCACGGAGCTCAGCCTTTGCCTCACTGTGGATGTGCTGCAGGCTCTGCCTGGAAGTCCTGCCTCATCTCCACTTCTCACCTAGTAGGTGCCTCAAGACCCAGATTGGGTCTTGGAAGCCCTCCCAGATGCCCAGGCTGTAGTGCTGTTCCCACATTCTCCCTCACTGACCCTCGAGCTCCGAAAGGGCATGGACTGTGTGACTCCCTCAGGGTCCAGCCCAGGTCCCCTTCCCCAGCTCCCCGACCCAGAGGGCCTCGCACACAGCAAGTAGAGTCTGTGCGAGGTTGGCCCCACCCCTAGCAGCTCTGCCACCTTCCTGCAGCCTCTGCATCTCAGTTCCGTCCCATAAACGGAGACGTGGCCACACCACTCATTCCCTGGGGCCAGCCGCTCAGTGTAAAGCCCTGACCCCTCAGCCACCCCTCCAGGGCCTCCAGCCAGCCCCAAAGCTCCCTCCTGGCCCTCCCTTCCCTCCCCCAGCAGCAATACCTTATCCTGTCCTGCAGACCCCGGCCATGGTCACCTGCTTTCCCCTGTCACCCTCTGCAGCCACACCCATCTCCTATCACTGGTTCACAAACTAATCCCAAACTCGGCGATTTAAAGCAACCCCCTCTGATATCCCTCCAGCCGCACCCCTGCTTGCCGTCGCCCTCCACCGATGGGCTCAGCCCGGTCTCCACATCTCTGCCTGTTAAGTCACCGGCCCCAGGACACCAGCCCCTTGGCCCCATGAAGGTTTACGGCACCCATGATCTTCTCTGGCCTTACACAAAGGCCGGTGGAGCCCCGGCGACGTTTGCCGGAGGACTGGATGATACAGGTCGGCGGAGGTGCAGCCGCTGACAAAATCACCCCGCCAGTAGGGGTCAGCCAGCGGACGGGGGAGGCAGAGCCCACGCGTGTTTGTCTACCCGTCTACCCTCCGAGGCGCCCAGAGCGCAGCCAGGACACGGGCTGCCAGAACAAAGGTCTGGACTCACCAGCCCTGTGAACCCCAAGGACCCAACCTCAGACCCTGGGCATCCAGAGGGCCAGGGTCCACTCCACACTGGTGTCCAAGTGTCCCTGTCTCATGTGCGGTGGGTTGAAAAAGCATCTTAGAAGATGTCCACATCCCAGGGCCCGGCGCAGTGGCTCAGGCCTGGAATCCCAGCACTTTGGGTGGCTGAGGTGGCGGATTGCTTGAGGTCAAGAATTCAAGACCAGCCTGGCCAACATGGTGAAATCCCATCTTTACGAAAAATACAAAAATTAACGGCATGGTGGCGCACACCTGTAATCCCAGCTACTTGGGAGCTTGAGGCGGGAGAATCACTTGAATCTGGCAGGTGGGGGTTGCAGTGAGCCAAGATGGCACCACTGCACTCCAGCCTGGGTGACAGAATGAGACTGTGTCTCAAAAAATTAAATAAATACATAAAAATTAAAAAGATGTCCACATCCCAATCCCCAGTACCTGTGGGTGTCACTTCATATGGAAGTGTCTTTGTGGATGTGATATTAGGGGTCGTGGGGGTCATGGAAGTGTCTTTGTGGATGTGATATTAGGGGTCGTGGGGTGGGAGGTGGGCCCTAAATGCCCTCTTGTGTCTCCTTACAGGTGGGAGGCCACAGGGCATGGGGAGGTGGGAGGCACAGAAGAGAAGGCCATATGACGACAGGGCAGAGCGGCCCTTGGAGATGCTGGGCTGGATGACTGGAGTGATGCGGCCACAAGCCAAGGATTGTGGCATCCACCACACAGTGGAGGTGGCAGGGGCAGTTCCTCCCACAGAGCCTCAGGAGGGAGCAGTACCCTGCAGCACCTTGGCTCAGCCCGGGGAAACCCCTCTCAGGCCTCAGCCTCCAGAACCGAGAATGAACTTCTGTGGTGGTCAGCCGCCCGGCACAGTGGCCACAGGAAATGAAAAGTCACTCTCCACTCCTTGTGGTAGGTGAAGCTGGGGTGTCTTATAGGGAAGGTGGAGGGACACATCTGGTTTGGCTTTGTGGGACATACGTTGCGCAAGGTCACCTCCAGCTGCTGCTGACTCATGCGGGGGAACAGCTTCCAGAAACTTCCAGGAATGCTGCAGAGTGGTAGGCGTGGATATGGGCCCTGCTGTCCCTGCCAGGGGGATGCGTGGGCACCACAGGCGAAATCAGCCAAAGAAAAGACTAAATTCTCTTGGTGTCCTCTTCTCTTGAGCAAAACACTGAATATGTACTTTGCAGTGGTTTGTATGGCTCATACCTGTAAACCCAGAATTTTGGGAGGCTGATGCAGGAAGATCATTTGAGCCCAGGAGTTCAAAACCAGCCTGGTCAATTTCTTTCTTTTTTCTTTTTCCTTTTATTTATTTATTTATTTTTGAGACAGAGTCTCGCTCTGTTGCCCAGGCTGGTGTACAGTGACGCCATCTCCACTCACTGCAACCTCCACCCTCAAGGCTCACGCGATTCTCCTGCCTTAGCCTCCCGAGTACCCGGGGCGTGAGTAGCCAGGATTACAGGCATGCACCACCACACCTGGCTAATTTGTTATTTTTAGTAGAGACGGTGTTTCGCCATGTTAGCCAGGCTGGTCTCAAACTCCTGACCTCAAGTGATCCACCTGCCTTGGCCTCCCAAAAGTGTTGGAATTACAGGCCTGATCCACCATGTCTGGCCAAATGTTCCTTTTTCAAGCCCATACTGTCGCCAGTAGTTTTCTTACCAACCTGCAAGTGAACCACTTTCTAATTCTGGGGCTCCAGCACCTCACCCCGAAGTCAATGTGTGGTACGTCAGCAGCCATTCTAACAGGTATGCAGTGGGATCAGGTTTTTTTGTTTGTTTGAGACAGGGTCTCACTCTGTCACCCAGGCTGGAGTGCAGTGGCAAGATCCAGGCTCACTGCAACCTCCATCTCCTGGGTTCAAGCAATTCTCATGCCTCAGCCTCCCCAGTAGCTGGGACCACAGGCACCCACCACCACATTATGGTTAATTTTTTTTTTTTTTTTGTATTTTTAGTAGGGGTTTCACCATGTTGTCCATGGCTGGTCTTGAACTCCTGACCTCAAGTGATCCACCTGCTTCTGCCTCCCAAAGTGCTGGGATTACAGGTGTGAGTCACCGCACCTGGTCAGCCAGAGCAATTTCTTTTATTTTAAGGAAACACCGACTTTCACACCTAACTCTGATTTTGTAAGTCGTATTACTTTTCTCAATGAGGGCCTCCAAAAGCTTCAAGGTCTGCAGATCCTGAACGCTCCGGCCCTGCCTGGAACCTCTTCCTTGGCCCGTCCAGGCAGGTGCCTGAGTTCGCTGGTGACCTGGAAACTCCTCAGCCCCTGCCAGACACCTGGAAGGGAGGGCCCCACTGTCACCACAAAGTCAAGCTTCGGCTCAGAAACTCGGGAACGTATAGCACCCGTTCAGGAAGGAGGTCCAGGCCAAGGGCACAGACCCCGCTGCAGTGACCAAGAAGCCACGGGCATCACTCCACCCACAGTCTCAGCTGCTGGGACCCATGTGGCCAATGGGCAGGGAGCTCCTCTCAGCTGCCTGGCCCCAAAGCTCCGCCCTCCCTGCTGTGCCTGCAAGGAGCCGGGCTCAGGAGGGACTTTGGGACAAGCGGGCAAGTAGGTGGGGCTCCCAGTTTGACACAGGAAGTCTGCAAATTTCTCGGCCGTATGGAATGTGGCCACTGATGCCAGCTTGGGCTTATCAGCCGTTTTTGGATTCACTCTGCCCCTTGACCTGTGATAGCTTCAGTGAACTGAGAGAAGGGATGGGTCGAGGGGCGTCCCCGCAGGCATCGCCTCTGCCCTCCCTGAACTCTGGCAGGGCTCCAGGTGTGCAGCGTTCCACCCACAGGTCGCTCTTTACCAGCAGGCACAGAAGCTGTTCCAACAGGGACAATCCAAACAGCTTTACTGTGGCAAGGCCACCACTCCCCTCTCACCTCCCCAGGGAAGGCCAGAGCCCACGTCAGCAGTGTGGAGGGAGTAAATCATTGACGCCTGGCGGGGCTGGGACTCAGGGCAGTCATGGTGGTATGGAGGGGTGGCTCGCCTGGACTCCAGGCCTGGCTCCCTCCCTGGCCTGTGAGTGCTGCCCTCGCTCCTGAAAGCCTTGTCACTTCCCACACCATGAGGGTCTGCATGTCCCCAAAGGATGCCTGACTGCCGTCACACAGCAGAGCTGGCATAAGGGCCCCTGGTCTCCCACAGTCCCGGCCCTCGGGCTCCCCAGCTGCTCCATAGGCGTGCGTGGTCTCCTCATCCAGGAAGACAGTGGGGACCAGATCTCCTGTCTCTTCCTCCTTCGTCTTCTGGGGCTGAACCATGGGCTCCCTAGAAGCCTTCCTGAAGTGGAGAAGGGTGAGCAGTGAGGATGCCGGCGACAGGGGCACAGGAGGGCCTGGGGCTGACAGCAGTGTCCTGGAAGCCCTCAGCGTGGAGCCAGGAGATGCCACCTCATCCTGTGGTGAGAGAGACCCTCACCTTCATGAGGGCTCTGAAGACACGCGCCCTCGCCGTCTGGGACAGGCTGGCTGCTCCAACCTCACGAGGGGTCGGGGGAGCCCATTCCTGCAGGTTCCTAGAAGTGGATGCCCCACTTGGGTCAGCTAGCAACAGCTAGGGGTGACCTCACAGCCACACGAGGACGGGCTGCTGAGCACAAGCCAGGACCCCAGTGCACAGAGCACCGAGGGATCTCAGAAGGCTGCTTCAGGTCTGAAGACTGACGCCCCACACCCAGTTTCCAGCATCAAAGTCTCTTGTTCCCCACCCAGACGCAGGACCGCACAGCCTCTTTCAGAAATGTGGTTCATGCATGTGAGTGCGCCCACGGGCTGCTGCGGTGAGCACGCAGGGGCCAAGCGAGACAGGTGTGCGGCGGGGTTGCAGTCAGAGTCCCACCTGTCCCTGCAGCTTGGACCAGTCAAGAACTATGTGTTGAGCTCAACGAAATTGCAGGTGGCCACACACCAAGCCTGAAGGGGTAGTGTCAGGGGCGTCGGACCAGGCCCCAGACAGAGTCCCCAGGTCCTGTCCCCGCTCAGGGGCAGCTCTGGCAGGCTCCGGCCCTGCTGGGCTCCCCCCTACTCTTTCCTGCACCTTGCAGGGCTGCTCCTGGCCTGGTCCTCTCCCACCTTTGTCCTGCAGGCTTTGTGTCCTCAGAGAAGCCCTCCCTGGGCTGCCTCAAAACTCCAGCCACCCACACACCAGGCCCAGGTCCTGTTATCAGCCCACAGCCCCTGCAGGGCCCTGGCAGATCCCATCCCTGGGACTAGCTCCTTAATGCGTGCCATCCCTTCAAAGGCAGCCTCTCTCTCTGGCTTGTGAGGGTCAAGCACAGGAACTGTGTCACTCTATGTCAGTGGAGTGTCACACAGGGGCGTTTGCCAAATTGTGAATGACTTTGTTCCATTCACAGGCAGAGGGAGAAGCGCAGAGGAGGCTCCCAGCAGCCTGGACAGCCATGTTCCTGGGGCCTGAGTCCCTCGTGGACGAGTCCCACTAGGCTTTGTCTCCTGGGCTGGGCACGGAGTGGGCCTCCAGAGGGTCTGCACCAGTCACGGTGCGGCAGGTGGAATCTGAGAGCACCGACAGAGTGCTGGTGGCTTCTGAGCGGCCACTTCAGCAGAAAGGGGTGGCCAGGAGGGACAGCTGCTGGGGAACAGGCCGTGAGAGGGGGTGGGGAATGGAGGGGCAGGGAAGTGGTTGGCAGATGGGCAAGGGACAAGAGAATGTTCTGGTCATGCCAGGGGAGGCCCTGGGGCTCCGGCAGAGCCGGAGAGGGTCCCAGCCATCTCAGGAGGGAGAGCTGCGGTGGACACAAGTAGTAGTGTGGGGAGGGGCCAGGGCAGCTGGGAGTGGGAGGAGGAGGAGGAGTAGAAAGGGCTCCCGAGGGAAAGGCAGGCAGCGGCCCATGGAGGGTCGCAATGAGGTTCAAGACGGGCGAGGGGGCTGTTCTGGCCCCGAGGGAGGGAGCACCCCACATCACAGCAGAGCCCATGTGGGGGCCCCAGGAAGGTCCTGCCCTCCTGGGGAGCGCCCAGGCATTCTGGAGGCTCCAGTGCAACTGTCCTCTCCCCATCCTGGTGGCCTCAGGCTCCCCAAGCTACCATCCTTCCTGTGCCCAGCCCAGGCTGGCAGCACTGTGCTGGAGTACCACAGAGCTCGGTGCCTGTCCCAGGCCTTGACCCTACCCAGGCAGAACTCAGTCCGGGTGTAATCGCTGGTCTCTAGTCAACTAGGTCCACACAGGCGCAGAGGAAGCAGGGCTCTGAGGCCACCTCCAGTGTGAACACATGTGTCCCCGCAGATGCCAGGTGGCCCCAGTATCGTGCCAGGCACTGCTGCCTGACCAGGACCCCAGGGAACTCAGGGGATGGGGACACCCTCCCGGGTGTCGCAGGTGAGGGGTCCTCGCAGCCTCCTAAGCCTTCCCGGCTTGTGTGTCCAGGGCAGGAGGGGCAGACCAAAGCCCTGGGACCCTCCTGCCCCACATTCCAGGGCTCCAGGGCGCTGGTCCTCAGGGGCGCAGCGGCAGCACAGGGCGCCTGGCCCCAGGGTCGCAGGGCGCTCCCAAGAGCACGGCGACCACAAGGACCCACCGCGACCTCCTCTGTCCAGGTGGGGGCTCCGCGCGCGGGGCCGGCGGTGGCTGGAACCGAAGGAGAGCGACCCCAACCCGCAACCCCCAACAAGACGCGGATCCGACTCCTCCACAACCCCCGTGGGTGCAGGAGGGTCAGAGGCTCCCGGTCTCGGCCAGATCCAGAGGCCTCCCCCCGCCCAGGGCGCCGGGTCTCAGACTCACCGCCGAGCTCACTCCGCATGCCAATGGTGCCGCCGGTGTAGATGGCCAGCAGCCTCCGCTCGGACCCCACCGCGCGCGCCATGCCGGACCAGGGACCACGGGAGTGGACGGGGGTGCAGCGGGGACGCGGGGCCTGCGGGACTCAGGGACTGCCGGGAGGAGGCCCGGGGCGCCAGGGGCAGCCTGGGAGGGCGGGGCCGGCGGGGGCACCCACGGGGAGGGGGCGGGAGTGGAGTCCGCCCGGGAGGATGGGAGGCCCCGCAGAGGCAGGCGGGGACAGGACCGGGGGGCGGGGTGGGCCCAGGTGACTGTCCAGGCTCGGAGAGAGAGGCGGGGCGTGACGGGGTGGGGGCGGGGCCTGGCGGGGTGGGGGCGGGGCCTGGCGGGGTAGGGGGCGGGGCACGGCCTTGGAAACATGTAGGAAGAGGTGAGGTCTGTGAAGGCGGCAAGGGTAGCTCCTGCCTGAGCAAGGGATTGGGTAGGACCCGCTGGGGGGTGGGGAGCGTCTGTCCAGGGACTAGGGGGCAGCCAGAAAGGCAGGGACAGGGGCGGGGCGGGTCCTGAGCCACCCCGCGGCCATTGGCCCTCCGTGGTGGCCCTGGGTGTTTGAATAGCTGTGACATGTGGTGCCTCGCAGACCGTAGTGCCCAAGGCCCTCCAAGACCTGAGCACAGTGGGGGCTCCGTGTCCTTTCAAGCAGCCTCCACGGCCCCGGTGCTCCAAGGCGGCATTGCTGCCCAGGCCCTGCTGTCCCTCCACTGGGTGGCTGGAGGCAGGCAGAGCTGGACCAGCCCCTCCACATGTGCACGTTCACACACCATCCAGAGGAGCCCCCAGGGCTGGAACCGGACCGGCAGGAGTATCGCCGTCTTGGACAAACACCGCCATTTTAAGTTCCATTTGATTAAAAAACTGCCTAAATCCAACCCAAAACACCTCAGCCTAATAGCTAATGTCAGCACAACCATAAACCACAAGTAACATCTCCAACCAGAAACATGCCAGCCTCGAGATAACCTCCCCTCGGACCGGAGACATTCCAACCCCGCAATAAACTTTCCCTCACATAGAAACATTCCAAGCCTGCGATAAGCTCCCAGCTTCCTAAACCCTTAAAGATCCAACCCTCTGAGGTTTATTCTCCAAAATAAACCGGTCTTCGACTGTTGAGCCGCTTTGCATGTTTCTTTCCTCTTTAACTCCTACAGAGTCCACCCCACTTCACTCCCGTGAGAGCCCAGGAGGGCAGGGCAGCGGCGGGTACAGGGTCCCAGGAGGGTCCCAAGCTGCAGGCTTGCTCCCAGGTGGACAGAAGATCCACGGCCTCCTCACCTCCTGGCACCTTGACTGCCTGGGGCACTGATGCCCTTTGGTGGGAAACTGTGCCCCCAGAAGGCGCCAGCACTTGACAGATTCCATAATAAAAATTATTATTATTATTCTGTTACCTGGAGGGCAGTAGCAAGATCTTGGCTCACTGCAACCTCTGCCTCCCAGGTTCAAGCAATTCTCCTGTCTCAGTTCCCTGAATAGCTGGGATTGCAGGGTGTGCACCACCATGCCCGGCTTTTTTTTTTTTTTTTTATTTTTTTTTTTTTTTTTTTTGGGTATTTTTAGTAGACACGGGGTTTAACCATGTCAGCCAGGCTGGTCTTGAACTCCTGACCTCAGGCGCTCCACCTGCCTCGGCCTCCCTGAGTGTTGGGATTACAGGTGTGAGCCACGCAATAGTGCAAAATCAATCTTGTCTGCAGAGAAGCAAATGCATTCTGCCCAGCAAGAGTCCGTGTTAGTTTTCTGGGACTGCAGGAACAGAATGAGTGATTTACAGTGCAAGGAGGTCTACTTCTCACAGTTCTGGGGGGTGGAAGTCTAAGGTCAGGGTGTCACGGGTTGGTGTTTCCTGCGACCTGTCTCCTGGGCAAGCAGACGGTGCCTTCTTGCTGTGCCTCACAGGGTCTTTCCTCTGCACAGTCACGCCTCCGTGATGTATCTCCAGATGTCCAGACTTTCTCTTTTTATAGACATACCAGTCATATTGAATTTGGGGCCTCATTTTAATTCGACCATCTCTTTAAAGTCTACCTCCAAATACAGTTGCATTCTAAGACATTGGGGTGTGGGGGACTTCAACATTTGAATCTAAGGGAGACAATCCAGCCCATCACAGCCCCCTGAAAATCCAGTTTCGCATTCGTTGGCACATTCATGTCAAAATTCCTCCTCTGTAAGTGTCGGTTTCAGGACTTCGCCTCTGAGCTGGTCCTCACAGCTGCCTGGGCTAGGGAAGCACTTCGATGCGTGCTCACCCTGCATCCCTGTGAACATCACATCTGGCCCTTTTGGGGAATCATCCTTTAACAACCTGCCTGCCGCCATAAATTCTAGGAAACCTTGTTTGGGGCCAGGGCAGCCTTCACCGGCAATAATCCTCACTGGAGTGGCTTTTCTCCCAGGTGCCAGGAGCCCGTCAGGTTTCTGCTGTTGAAACCTCGAAAGCACCAGAGCTCGATGCTGCAGCTTCGCCTGAAGACACTGCTGGTCTTTGGACAGCTCCACTGTCCTGCTTCGTTTTTGCCTGCGTCCACCTACATCTACAGCGTCCTTTCATGCAATATATATTGAAAGCTGGCTCTGTGCCAGGTGCCTTTGTAGGCACGGGGGAGGCAGCCCCTGTCCTCCTGAGTGTACCAGCCAGGGTGGGGGCCATAGTAGACAAAAATACCAGCATCTGGCAGTGACAGTGCCCTGAGGAATACTCAGGGAACAGAGAGACAGGCAGCGCTGTTTACAACAGGGGGGTCAGGGAAGGCCTCTTCGAAGGGTTGTCATTGGAGCAAAGCCAGCATGCCAGGCACGGACAGGTGCCGAGGCCCGAGGCGGGAGCGAGCATGGCCCCACAATGCCCAGGTCAGTGGGGCGAGAGCACTCAGAGGGAGGGGACACCCACTGAGTGACTGTGGTGCCAGGTGAGGACTTGCAATTTAACTCCAAAGGTGAACACCAGCCCCACCAAGGGTTGGGCTAGTTTGTTTATTCTCTGGCTGCTGTGTGCAGAGAGACTGAGACAAGAATAGGGTCAGGAGGGCTTTGGGCAGGGTGGGGGAAGAGCTGGGGATGGGGAAGTGTGAGGTGGGAGTGCTGGGAGCACAGGTTGGATATTGGGGGGTACCAGCCGAAGAGAAGAGGAAGGGTCACTCTCCTGTCTTTGGCCAGAGCAGCCACGGAATGGGGATGTCCTTACTGAGAAAGCAGGGGCTGCAGTGGGGCTTGAGGCTGGGCAGAGGGAAGCAAGGTGTGTTGGACGCATCCTGCTTGGGGGCCACCTGGGCAGGTTCGAGGAGACTCGGCTGCGCGTCCTGCAGTCAGCGGCACAGGGACGACAAGGTCACAACAGCAGCGAGGTGTCAGCAGAGACAAAGGCCCCAGTCTGAGCCTGGACATTCCAGCCTCAAAGGCCAGGAGGAGAGAACCCAGGACCGCGAGGGGAGAAGGCCAGGAAGCGATCTGCACGTGAAGTCGCACGGTGTGGTGAGGGGAAGCCAGAAGCTGGCCATGTGTGGAGCAAGGTGGAGGCTGCTGCGGCCTCACCCCAGCTGAGTGGCGTGGAGGGGCAGACGTCTGTCCCCCTGGAGGGACACTTGGCCATCGCTGTGCTGCCTGCTGCTGAAGGAAGTGCTCTCCACCAGGGGCTGGGTTAGGAAGGTGCAGGATGTGCCGGTTGCTCCCTGGCTCCTGGCCCCCTGGCTCCCCAGGCGGTGTAGTGCCAGGAGGTGAGTCCAGGGAACCTGGGCAGCCCCAGCCAAGTCCCCAGGTTCTGCCCGCCCCTCCTTTATTTCTGATTGTTCAGAAAAATGTTTCCTTGGCCACCCAGGTCTCTCCTCATCCCTCTTCTCTCTCACTTCCCGTCTACACCCTCCCCAGTGGCCCTCCTTCCACACAGCGCAGGAGAGTTCTCGGTGGGACCCTCCCAGAGTGTTTATAAAGTCCACTCCAACCCCACCCAGAGCTCACTGCGTGGAAGGGCATCTGCCATTTGACAGTGCCCAGTGGTCCAGACCACCCCACAGCCCTGCCTACCTTTTCTGCAGCTCTTCTTCTAGAGCAAGGTGCTCAGAGCATGGCCTCTGCTCCAGCAGCAGCACCTGGAACCTGTGGAAATGCAAAGCCCAGGCCCCTGACAGCGACTCTGGGTGGGGCCCAGGAGTCCAGACTCTGACCCTACTCTGGGTGATGCTGATACAGGTGCACATTTGGGAACCACTGGTCTAGAACAAAGGACGGCAAACCAGGGCTCGACGGCCAGGCCTGGTGCACCTGTGTGTGTAAACACAGTTTTCTTGGAACAGCCACACCCACTCACTTATGTATTGTGTTGGGGAGGTGCCGGGGGCAGGCGCCCGTGGCCGTGCCATGGCTGGCTTTCCAGAGGCAGAGGGGCAGAAGGAAGCACCTGGGTGCCAAGTAAGGGGCCGCAGGAATGCCTCACATACTCCTGTCTGTCCTTGGCCACTCACTGGGGCAGATCTTGGTCCGGGGTGGTCACCTCCACCCTGAGGCTGTGGGACCTCAGGTCACAAGCTCTGCTCTTCCAGTCCCCAGCTCCACACAAACAAGCCAAGACTCCTGGAGACGAGGCACAGTGCTGAGGCTGCTGGTAAGGTACACGGTGCCCCCCTGGGTTCTGGCCGTGGCAGCGGGCCTGGAAAGGGAGTCCCTGGGAGGCCGCACTTCTTCAGCTACTCAGGCTTTGTCTGTTGCCCTACACTGTGAGTCTTCATGGTACTGCCTTTGGTCCAGGCACTGTTGCAGCCACCCTGCAAATCCAGGCACACTTCACCCCTGTAACCACACCAAGGCAGAGGATGATAATCCTATTTGGTGAGTGAGGGGACTGAGGCACACAGCGGGTCCCATGGCAGGTGAGCGCTGCACTGGGCTTGTGGACACTATGGGGGTTCCTGACACTGTGTTGAAGTAGGGGCTGGCCTGGCCTGGGCCAGTGGGCTGGAGGGGAACAGAGGTGTGTGGGGACCCCAAAGAGAGGAAGCCTAAGGAACTTTCCGATGGGCGAAGGAGTCTTGGGGCCTGGGCAGGGAACTGCGGAGAGCTGGGGCATTTTCGG